AAGCTGGCCGACCGAAAGAGCATTAAACGAAAGATGTTGTCGAAGACGCTGGTCGGAAAAGTGTGTAAAGGCAGAATGTAACGTTCCGACCCAACCCCTCTATCGCGATGTCAAAGTCACGAAAACTCAAAACAAAAAGATTCGTGACGCAACGGCTATATACTAGCATAATGATAAACGCTTCGCGGGTTAAAGTTGCTTTAAAACGAACAAATTACTCGGCAGCGATAACAGAAAAGGAGAAGTGGCACTCGAGGTTGATACTCACCAGGACCAAGTTGCATAGCAAGGTTTCCACGTAGAAAAAAAGATTTGATCAGGGAAGCAAATGAAGGAAATAAGAACTTACCTTGGTCCGTCCAAATGGGTATCTAGTTCACAAAAGGGTTAATTCCCAGTTAAACTAATTAATATCCGGATCGCCACGGATTACAACAGTTATAAGTGTACCGCGCCTGTGAGACACAGATACTTCTTTTCCACAATTCGTCCAAGATGGCGAATGCGCGACTTTCGGCTCTTCTTCCGCGATCAATACAATTACGTCATACGACCAGAGAGCCGTTTGCACAGACGCGCCACTCGTCTGGATTTTCTTGTCACTGCTTTACAACGATTTTCACGAATAACTGTTTTGCCGTTTTACTTTATAAAATGAAATCGAATTCTTAATTTAAACAACGTTAAATGCGCTTTTTACGCGTTAAATCCACACCGCGCTACTTTATATCTTTTTTTACCTAACCGTTACTTATGACGAGAAACAAGCGGAACATTCAACAGAAATAAGTGGCGCTGCTTCTACGGTGCCTCGCCGCTTCGAACCAAAGTCAAATTAATTACAAATGCTTCGGAATCGTTTGTCAATTATGTTTTAGAATCCTTCTCCCAATTCTAAATCTATCGCTTTTTCTCACAGATATATATTTCCGAATTATTCCGTTAATTTGCAACTATTTGAGAAATAATTCGGCAAAAGGGTCTCAATTTGTTTGCAAATAACTGCATACATTTGATTTCGTTGGTACTTGTATACGATTTAAAATGGCCGACTATATGTGCATATATAATTGTACTCGGTTTTTTCATCGATCTCGTAGATGGTGTGCTGCGAGGAATGTGAATTTTTATTCGTAACAAGTAATAAAATTCTTTCGATCTGAACGAATTAACAAATAATCTAATGAGAAATGGTGCGTAAGTAAATAACATGTTTTTCCGTAGAAACGATATCTTTTTTACATTTGTGGTCCTTGAATGTAGATAAATATTTAATTTTTAGAGCGTAACACTACACACCGATGTCGGTGATATAAAGATAGAATTATTTTGTGAATTGTGTCCAAAAACATGCGAGGTAATTATTTCTCATCCTTTTCTATAGTTATTATTCTTCGTGTGTGTGTGCGCGCGCGTGTGTGTGTGTGTGTGTGCGCGCATGCATAATTTATTAATTGCAAATAATTTATGTATAGAATTTCCTTGCTTTGTGCGCCAGTGATTACTACAATAACTGTTTATTTCACCGGAACATAAAAGGATTTATCGTTCAAACTGGGGATCCTACGCAAACTGGTAAAGGTGGGACTTCGATATGGAATCGTAAATTCGAAGACGAGTTCAAGGAAGAATTGAAACATAACGCGAGGGGTCTTGTGTCTATGGCAAACAATGGACCAAATACAAATGGAAGTCAATTTTTCATCACGTACGGACCACAACCACATTTAGATTTGAAGTATTCTTTATTCGGAAAGTAATTATCTTTTTTAATGTTTGCATCGACATTTATGATAACAATGCTTAACATGTTATAATCATTTTTTATTTTCAGGGTAATAGATGGGATAGAAACATTAGAACAACTGGAAAAATTACCAGTAAACCCAAAAAATTACAAACCCCTTACGGAAACCAGAATAAACAATATTACTATACACGCTAATCCTTTGGCAGGTTAGATGTACATTAATTGTTAAGTTGCGAACAAAGATTATTTAAATGTTTCAGAGTTACAGACTTTCTTTACCGTCGTATATTCCCTTTAACCTTTTGTTCAGAGGATCGAATGGACTTTTTATATAAACATGAGCTTTATGGCGTTTTCCCATTACTTCGATTTCATAATGTCCAGTTTTTAGAAACTGATCCGATACACATTCTCCGTTCGGATGTTTAATATATCTATTTAAACAAAGAGTAAATATTGAATTATTCTGTTTGGTAATAGAAGAAAGTAATCGCATTATATCTGTTGTATTCTTATTACCCGCGTCCGATGGATCTACCACAGCTGTATCCTCGTTCTGTTCTCCGTAGATAACCAACAAGGGCATCGTTTCTGTAAATAGGTTCTAAACCCCACAATGGAATGGCACTGTCCAAATGTACGTGTATCAGTCTTCTTTTGAGTCCATTCCGTTGCAATCGATCTAGCGCAAACTTTCCTTGGTAATGGCCGGTATTGCGACAAATTGATTCTAATCCAGCTTCAATAGGATTATCGTCCGTTCGAAGGTCCGAGCCCCAAAGATGATAACCTTGCCAATAGGAAATTGTGTAATTACTAGTTCAATGTTCTCGACTGGACTCTATAAACGGGTACGAACGGTTTCGCGTACCTTTTTCACAACTAAGACTGTACAGTGCTCTGTATCCAGCGAGTTTCATGTTATATTCTTTTCCACGTTCCATTAAAGCCGTATAAACGGTTTGGCAAGAAGATTTCGGTATATGTATCTCAAAGCCAAGTTCGCCGACAAAACTGATTCTAATCAAACGTGTCAGTTGATTTCTAATCTTGACTAGCTTGGTGGTCGAAAATTCGAAGGATTCGTCCGAAATTTGGTCTTCTGTCAACGATTCCACTATTTCTCGGCTGCGTATGTGAAATAACTTTGGTAGATTCGACATGTTTGCAGAAAGGGGATTTTCCAGAAATTAGGCGTACACGTATAAAGACTGTTACGCATACGATACCTGTTGGGACCTTGAACGGATAGAATGCCAATTTGTTCGGTAACGTCGTGTAACGACACATCGAAGCCTTTTTTCTCTATGACTTTGTTCATGTGAGCCCACGCATGATACGCTGACGCTCCGCTCGAGACTAATATTCGAAATAATCGTACAGGAAAACCGTTTCAATTGACTGTAATGAATCGACTGTAACGGAAATTATAGAAACAACGTACCGACGTAGAACGCGGTGCCTTTAAATATCGGATTTACGATTCCGCTTGAACCGGGTTCCATGATCGTAACGGTGCAGTCCATTTCTACACCCCCAGCCCGATTGAGCATGCAAGTGTAAACAGTTTTGTTTGGAACGCGCCGTGTGTTTGCCGTAAATAAATAATCGGCGGCTTCTCGCGCTTCCGGCCCGCAAAGATAAAATTTTCCAAGATAGGACATGTTGAACAAAGCGGCATCGTTTCGACAGGCAAGAGCTTCTTCTCGAATCTGACGGGAACGCATGGACATTATTTGTGTACGTAGATTCTTTCGCGTGACGGTGACTCGTGTAATATCGCGTCAACTTACAACGACGTCGAACGACGAAAACTCGAAACTGTATTCCTTTTCTAAGATCTCGCGATACTCGTTCCTTTCGTTTCGAGGCACGCCGTAATCGTACGGCATCGTTTGAATTTTCCTGCTCGAACGGAACCATCCTGGTCGTTCCCAACCTTGACGTTCCTCCATGAAGGCACCCTGCTCGATCAGTAGCTGCAACACGGGAACGGTTTTATCGAGGACCGTCGTGTCTCACGGGAATCACTGCCACCGGCAAAAGCGTGGTTCACTTTCGATATAAAACTTTACATGGTGGAAAGGGTCTGTTTTCAGGTTTCTACCGCTTAAAGGTTCATCGTGTGGAAATACAATGTTATAGTTTGTCGCGTACGCCTCGTGAGATCTTTCGGTCATCCAAGCCAAATTCTTTCTCTGCTCTGGAATAAATCTGCAAGATGAGAGGTGCATCGGTGGATGTAATACGACTATCGATGCGCACCCGACCGATCGAGCGGAATATACGTACCGTCTGATGTCGTAATTGAACATGTAACTATCCGGTCGACCATTAATTATCCAATGTGAAATTTGTTCTCCGCATCCACCGCCCAACATCATGCCAGCGCTGTTGTACGCGCAAGAATAAAATAATCCGGTACACCGAGGATCCTCTCCTTTGTTAAATGAAACATGTCGGCAAAAATGAAACGATTCGCTACTACTCCACGTTCGTATTGTATTCCATTAGAAACGGTGAGAATAGTTTTACCCATAATCGGTTTATGATCAGGCGTAAAGCTTTCCGGGCCGCACACGGTTGCCCTTATTCCCGTTGCGGATAGTCCCGGAACGAGTTGCATCATGGAACCCAGATGTTCGTTGAAATTCTCCCAATTCAACTCGTACAGACCGAACGAGAATTCCTCGGGCGCCTTTCGAATAAACGTAAACGCGTAGGTTAACGATTTCCGGTCGAATCCCGTGTTTCCAAGGACGATCTCGAAGCCAGAATGCGGATGAAAACTTACGGATTCGAGTACGATGGGGTTTCGTTCGTAAACACCCATCGCGATGGAGTTTCCCTGAATTCTAAAGTACAGGCTGGGGTCTGGATCCCTTATATTCGGAAGGTGTTGCTCTACTCCCGGCATCGGTTCGGTCACGACGTAAGCGTGTTTAATCGGTACCAAAGGGATATCTATGTTCAACGTGTTCGCAAGATTTTTCGACCAAGCTCCGGCAGCGTTCAGGACAACGCCGGTTTTTATAATTCCGAACGGTGTCTCGACACCGCAAACCTTCTTCTTGTTCGGAGCAATGTCCTTCGTTAGGATGTTCGTGACGGGGCAATCTTCGATCACCTGAAACACGCGGTAAAAGAAGTTTCGGCGACGCGGAAGACTTTACCTCGTTCGAGTGCAATGGGCCAATCACCTGGCAACCATTGCTCTTCGCCGATTTCACTAAAGCATTTATCAACATGGTTGGATCAACGACTCCATCTTTCGAAGAGTAGATGGCTGCTCGAAAGGAATTCTCGTCGAGCAAAGGAAACAAGCGTTTCGCTTCCGTTGGAGAGATTAAACGAGCACCGATATCGAAAGCTTTCGATCCGCTGACGAACCTTTTATATTCAGCTAATCTCTCCTAAAACATTGAAAACCCATTCCAGAAAATATTCTCCCTCGCATACCTGATGCGCGCTCCTGATGCTCTCTCGAATATTCTTGGATACTCTTGGATATTCACGTTAGTGCGGGCAATGTAAAGCCCGCCGTTGTTTATCCAGCCTGGATTTATACCGGTTTCATTCTCCAACGAATCGAGCACGCGTCTCGTAACTTTGAGCAGTTGAAGCTCGACGTCGCTCGGTCCACGTATACTCCATATTAGTCCGGCGGTGTGCCATGTAGTACCGGATGTCAATTTCGATTTGTCCAGGAGTACGGCGTTGATACAGTGTTTTCCCAAATGATACAACGCGTTGCAACCAGCGCTGCCACCGCCTGCGAACAATCCTTTCGATGGACCATGGAATAGACTACCCACGAGTATATTTCGTTTACCGATTACTACGACGTCCGCTTCGTTCGGCAATTGTACGGTGCAAGATGAATTCGGAGCTCTCGTCGCCACCGATTTCACGCAGCGACCGACGCATCTTTCGTGCAACTAAAGAAAAGAAGAAACGTTTATTGGAAAGTTTTCGGTAATGCCTCCTTTTCTCGATAGGACACTCGAAAGAGTCGCATCGTACGCACGTACCTTAAATTTCATTAGCCGGAACATGTCTGTTGTCTGGGAGATGTAACGCGAATTTCGTGAGACCTCGCGTAATTGCAGCTCCGGTTTACGTACACTTTACTACTCTGCGAAGTTTATTATTGCACCACTGTTTTCTCTCTCTCTCTCTCTCTCTCTCTCTCTCTCTCTCTCTCTCTCTCTCTCTCTCTCTCTCTTTCTCTCCGTACACTATCATTCTTACAGTTTTGTTTTATCGAAAATAATTATTATAATATCTGAAGCTGTTTAAGATTAAATTATTTTTGTACGGTGACGCGTGCAATTACGATTGCGAAACGCAATAGGTTCTTTGTATCGTTCAGTAGCATCGTCGAAGAAGTTATCTTTCGATAGAGGATTTCTGGTACGACGAGGACTATATTTTGTACCATTATTAATCCACGGTTTACCGCTTAAACCGTTTGCCACGTATAAACTATAAGAAATTTTTACTAGTAATCGAGTTGGTTGCGCGCGTCAGGCGATACGATAACTAATTCGTTGACCCGCATTGTTTCCACAATGTTACTCAATTTATAGCTGTACCGTATCAAACTTTTAACTGTAATACAATTATTGTTGTTACTCCTGTTTGCATATTTGTACATCATCATCATCATCATCATCGTCGTCGTCGTCGTCGTCGTCATCGTGATCGTTGTCGGCCTCGTGGTCGTTACAAATCCCTTTGTAATTGATCACACCGAGCGTTTTTCGACACTCTGCCTTTGTTAGGCGATAAAATAATGAAGAAAATGGAAGGCGACTTACGTTTAAAAATACTATACTAGATTTTTGTTGGAAATCAAAATAATCAAAGTATGGTCGTTTAAAAGTTTTTATTACTCTTTGTAAACTAGAAACTATTGGTTGCTTTGCTTCGTCATGGAAAGTGCAATCTGCTACTGTAGTTGACGATATTAGAGTATATTTACTTATTTATATTCGATACGGTATATAACATTACATACGTGGACGCATTCGTTCTCTTGGTTTATCGTTTTTAGCGTACAGACGCACCTGTATACCTGTAATTATTTGTGTACAATACTTGGGTTTTTATTGTATCGGCATTTAGCTAGACAATAAATAATAGTTATACATTTACAGATTATAAAAAATGTTACGTTTACGTTAAAAGATATATATATATATATATAATTGAAGTTTACTCGGGTTGCAACGAAAAAGGGATAGAAGGGGATAAGAAAGAAGGGAAAGAGAGAATGAACGGAATATTTCGGGTAAATTCTAGAACTCGTTCGTTTGGAATGTAATGGTTTCTCCGCACGGAAGCTGGTTTCAACGCGTTAATTCTCCGAGAGGAGCCAAACGTATACATTATGCTTTAGACTAGTATTAGATTTTTCGAACGACAGTCGTATACAGCGTAAAGCGTACATGTACGTGCGTTACAACCGATCGGACTACGAGAATCGGGGAGACGGAGAAAAAAGCAAAAAAGGAGAGAGGCATAGGCGGAGGCGGAGGCAGAGGCAGAGGCAGAGGCAGAGGCAGAGGGAGAGGAGGAGTGGAGAAGCGATATCATAATTTTCATTCGATACGAGTAAACAACATTATTATGTCGAAGGGAGGAAATATCGTACTTACGCGTGCAATACGACGTAGAAGCGTTCCGCAGATCGATGACCGTGACACGGGTCATCTACATTTTTTTTCTCTTTTTCGTTCATAGCTACATCGATGGATCCATATCGATGGAACTACTCGCCGATGTATCAATGAAAACAAAAAGAACGAGACAAGAGGAAGAAACAAAAAGAAAAAAAAGTAGAGAAAACAGAAGACAGACTAGATCGATTTCGTTAAAGCGAAGTGTGCTCTTCGCTGGCTAGACTATCGGTTTCTTCGGTGTCGGAATTGGTAGCAGCTTGAACTCGGGCGTATTCGTCGGTATCGATACTCTTACAGAAATGTATTGCGTACTTTAATTTTTGACAGAGTACCTGTTTAGACGAGTAGCGTGGCATTTTCAAGAGGAAGAAGCACGTATAACTTTCGGGAAGAAAGTGATCGGGCGGATTGTATTTATCCATTACCTGAGAGAAAGAGAGAGAGAGAGAGAGAATAGGAGATTCGAACATGTTTCAGAATGTTTCGTCGTACTTGGAACGAGCAAGTATAAAAGAATGCCGAGTAAAACCCGATAACCGAGTAAGAGAAGAAACGGTGGTCTTACCTGCAGGACGAAATCTCTACCGCGAAAGTCGGCGATCGTACGCGGCAAACGAGTCCTTCCCCAAACGAATCTCAGAAAGAGGGATCTCTCCTGATTGGAAAACTCTTCCATTACTTCCCAGAACCACTGAATCAGCGGCGCGGTTGCTTCGATGCCTGAAAGAACGCGAGAATGAGGAGAATTGGCCGAGTTCCTCGGTAGGAACGGTCTTGGGGTTCGGTGTGTCTGGTACCTTTACAGATCGCGACGGACTTGAGCAAAGCCAGCGGTATATCCGGACTGCCGCAGACCATTGTCTCCAATTCTGCTCCGTTGAATAACGCGAGGAAAGGTACGGGGATCACTTTCGACATTCCGTCGCGTACCGCGGCCACTTGGGCGTCGAACTCGTGCAGCCTATAATTCAAGGCCAATCGAACGTACTCGTGTTTGTTGGCCGGGGTAATCTTTTGATACCTGAAATTCGATGAACGAACATAAACAAAGAGATTGTCGGGTGAATAGCTGTGATTGGCGCATACCTGTTGGACAACGGTACGTCGTGTCCTACGGCCGATGGAGTGGAGAACGGCATTTCGAGGGTTTGAAAGACCTTCTCGTCGGGGTCCATGTCCCGAATGCACAGCAGACCGGGCACGTAATCTCTGTCGATCTCGGTTAAATCGGCGGGCGTGGAGGAGTTACCGGCGAGTTGCTTCCACACGGGCTCGGCCAGATTCAAGCTCAACGGGCTACCCGTTCTTATCGCTATGCCCATCAAGATACCGAGAAATCGGAACATGTTCATGTGCAGGGGCGAATCGGCGGTCGGATTCAAGAGGAAGCAGTCTCGATTGGTTCCGTTGTCTTCTCGGCCGTTCGGAGTCGGTATGAGCAACGGCAGGGAACCGTTTTGCAGTTCGTCGCACATTTCGGCTATACTTTCGCTGTAACCACCGCCGCAATCGTCCACGCTCTCTCCTGCGGAGAAAAGTTGATTCGCGGATCAAGCGAACGAACGGGGTGCGTCCGTCGCGTTCTTCTCGTTACGGTCGTTATGGTCAACTTACCGACAAACTTCACTTTCCAGACGCGATGCGGAAAGAATAGAACGTCTTGAGTCAGCAAGGACATTTTCGATACCATTTGACCGAAAACCGATTTTATGCCGTCCGGCCCGGCCAGGCCACCTTTGCTTTTCGCTCGCTTCACTTGTATGCGATTCAATTCGATCACCGGGCCGTGCTGTCGATCTCTGACCATCGTGGCTTGGACCACTTTCCGGAAGGTCGCCTCTTTGATGCTGTAGACCAGAATCGGGGCCAATTTGCTGAGACTGATGGGCCCGGTGATGGGAAACATCGGCAAGCAAGGGCAAAGCAGCTCGGCGAAATGATGCAGGAGCACCAGGCGGTTGTGCAGCACGGGGAACGGCAGATCCTTGACCAGATCGTACTCCATCGGCGTGACGGCGGGCATTTTGGTCTGCGCCTCTTTGGTGGTGCTCCAGGCTACGGTGTGCGCGCTACCGCAAGCGACCCGGGTGATCTTCTCGCCTTGCAGCGCGCGAACCAGCCTCGGCCTCTGCAGAGCGCTGGTCGTCCCGTCGCCGAGCTGACCCTCGTCGTTGTCGCCCCAGGTGAACACCTCTCCCTTGTCGGAACAGGCGACGCAGTGCAACGAACCGGTCGCTATAGAGATGATCTTCTTGCCCTGGAGAGCCGCTATCTTGCGCGGCCTTCGCACGTGATCGTCCGTGCCGTGACCCAGCCGGTGGTAATCTCCTTTGCCCCTGCGCGCAAAGAGGAGGGAATAGATCGAAAGGAAGAACGAGAGAACGAACGACGGAACGAACGACGGAACGAACGACGGAACGAACGACGGAGAGGAGAGGAGAGGAGAGGAGACGCGTGACCGGCGAAACGGCGTACCAGGTGTAAATCGCTCCCGATCTCGTCAAAGCCACCGAGAACTGGCTGCCGCATTCGGCTTTGATCACCCCGAGACCGGCCAGGGACTCGATCTTCATGGGAACCTTGCAACCGTCGCTGCCACCTCTGCCCAATTTCCCGTAATCTCCGTCGCCCCAACTCCAAACGTTATCGTCGTCGGTCACGCAAAGCGTTTGCGCGTCTCCGCTTCCGCAAGCGACGTCGATCACTTTGTAATCTTGCAGCGCTTCCACCCGTTTCGGCGTCAACTGATCGTCGCTGTCTCCGTGGCCCAGACGCCCGTATCGGCCTGACGATGGAACATTAGCGAATCGTGTAATATAATGCTACTACCTTAACGCGCGGCTCCAAAAGAAAGGAGAGAGGAGAAACCTTTGCCCCAAGTGTAGAGCCAGCCGGTGCTCGTGATAGCCGCGCTATGATTGCCGCCGCAAGCGATATCCACGATTTCGGTGCGCAGCAGTTCTTCGACCAGTTTCGGTCGGTCGTAGGACAATCGGTTTCCGTGGCCCAGTTTACCGTCGTCACCCTCCCCCCAAGAGTAAACGTGTCCCTCGGAGCTGAGCGCGAGACAATGCTTTCCTCCCGAGTTCACCGCGACCTTCTTCACGAACACGTGCTGGATGGACTCGAGGAGGGTGGGGACCGTCACGGAATCGGTTCCTCCGATCCCGAGACGACCGACCGCGCCGTATCCTGCGAAACGCCGGAATGCTTTAACGATCTCGAAAGGTGTTTTGTCGAAAGGAAGAACAACGGAAGAGACAGCGCGCGTACCAGTCGCGTAGACTTTCCCATCGGCGGTGACGGCGAACAAGGTTTGCTCTCCGCCGGTCAGCTGAACCGGCCTCAGGGCGGACAAACTTTCGCAGAGGACCGGCAACTTGACCTTGGCGCCCTCCAGACCGCCCAGCTGACCCCGATGATTGTGCCCCCAGCCGTAAATCGCCCCCGATCCGTCCCACGAGAGGGTCCAATCTTCCGGCCT